AGTTTCTCTTTGGAGTCTGGTCCTGAAGTTTTTTTGCTGTAAGATGGCAACCTTTACATCTGCTATTGTGTGGCCAGGGAGGTTGAAGTGTTCTCCTACAGGTTTTTGTATATTGCCATTCCTGATATCTGACTTGTGTCCATTTATCCTCTTGCGTAGTGACTGTCCAGTTTGGCCAATGTACATAGCAGAGGGGCATGTCTTCTGCTGTTATTTTGGTGACAGGGACAGTATGGTCCTTAGGAATGAAGCAAAATAATTGGGCTGCACCATCTGGAGAATGAAGTGACACTTACTAGCAAAATTGATCAGAGAATTTTCACCTTTGCTCCTCCTCTGTGATGCTCTTCTAAACTTTACAGCAATGAACAAAATCAAAAGGAGAACCAGCAGGACGGATGGGATCAGGATGTAGAGGACGAGGTTTGGTATACTAGGCGAAGGAGAAGAGAAAGTTTGTTTCTACTCTTAACGGTTATGGTTTGTTATATAAAGATTAGACGTAGCTCTTGCTCCCCTCTCAAGTTGTTGGAAAGGGTGGGGAAGTATTAGCCAACCCCTATCTGTTTTTTACAACTGGGAAACTGAGGCACAAGTACGGTGACTTGCGTCAAAGAAGCACATGGAGTCAGTTGCAGAGCTGAGGCTAACACCTTGCTACGCTGGATTTCAGCATCAAACTGAATAAACAGAAACCATTCAGCAAAGGAAAATTTGGCAATCTAAAGCAGTCCTAGCTTTCCTCTCTGCACAGCTGGGTTTAAATGTGTACTAGGGCCTAGGTCTTTAAACACATTTAGATGTCTAACTCCCCCTGACCTCAATGAGTGTTAAGCACCTAAATACATCTCAGGATCTAGACCCAGGTGACTGGAGACATGAGGTAGCTGACCTCAGCATAGCACCTAACAGAGGTCTGATGTCAACAAAAACCTACAGAGTGCAACAGCAGTGGGTGCGATTGTAGTGACCCTAACAGGGCCACTGTGGTTGGCATTTTAAAAGCAAACTCTTTTTATTGATTAAATTGACTTAATTAAATGATCAGGTTAAAACTGTCAGATTATTTTCAGCCGAGCAAGGGTAAAACCCCTGTTCTGTTTAGGGATGGCAGTGTTACCTAGTGGTGAGAGCCCTGGCCCCAGCATCAGGAGACCTGGGTTCTATTCCTGGCTCTGCCACTGGCCTGCAGGGTGACCCTGAGCAAGTCATGTCACCTATTGTGCCTCAGTTTCCCCATCTATAAAATGGTATTAATGATATTGACCTCCTTTGTAAAGTGGTTCAAGATCTGTGGAGGAAAAGTGCTAGATGTTATTATTCGATTAGAGACTTGCACTGCATCTTTTGCCATGAATTTTTGGCTTTTCTGATTAAAAAATTAAAGACACAATCATACAGAATTTAATGTCACAAACCCTTCCAGAGCTGGGGTTTGTAAACTGCTTCTGCCACAGTGTGAAGGAATCAGTGGACAACAACTTTAAAATGAAAATATCAATATCATGTGATTGACATGTGCAGTATATCTCCCTGCCTGACTGGAAAGCCCAATAGAATAGCAAGAGTCGTGCAGGTCAGATGTGAGGGGAAATGCAGTGCTAGCACTTTAAAATTGGACCACATCAGGCTGGCAGAGTGGTGAGTGTGAGGGGGTGTTTTTTGCTTTCTTTTTGTTTGCAAGTGTGGGTTTAATACAGTAATGCAATGGAATTCACCTTCTCAAGGCAGAAAATAGTTTGCAGGAGAAGGAAGGACTGTATAACAGCAGGACTGTCTGGCTCTGACTTAGATGATAAATGCCCCATCTCAACTTGTAAACTCAGCTACAAATCCTTTTCTTCAATGCCTCTGGTGTGCAGAGACCTGAGAGTTCTGGAATACTCCGTGCTGGGTGAGTTTGACTTAAAGCCTTGGCCTCTGTAGGGATTGTAGCCTGGACTTTGAGCACAGTGTAGAAACTCCAAACCTGCCCTAGAGTTGGTGAAAGGAGACCTCACAGTGCCTCTAGCATGAGTTTGGGCACTCACCCGGCAAGAACAGTCCATGGGGAGGTGGCAACGGTCAGGTCCTTTTCTGGTGTCCTCGGTGGTGAGGTAAGAACAGCTGCAAATGAAAGCAGACAGAGCTGTATTACCGAGCCCTTGTTTATTGATTTCCTGTTGGAGCCAGCACCTGCCTTCCTGATGGCTGGGCTATTAAAGCTCCGTGACATGTGTACTAGCTAGGCCATTGCAGCGGAGAAAGGTGGTGTGGTGTTGTTTTACTGAGATAATCGAGAGAGAGGTTTCAGAGTAGCAGTCGTGTTAGTCTGTATCCGCAAAAAGAACAGGAGTACTTGTGGCACCTTAGAGACTAACAAATTTATTAGAGCATAAGCTTTCATGAACTACAGCCCACTTCTTCGGATGCATACAGAGTGGAATAAATATTGAGGAGATATATATACACACATACAGAGAGCATGAACAGGTGGGAGTTGTCTTACCAACTCTGAGAGGCCAATTAAGTAAGAGGAAAAAAAAAACTTTTGAAGTGATAATCAAGCTAGCCCAGTACAGACAGTTTGATAAGAAGTGTGAGAATACTTACAAGGGGAGTATTTTCACACCCCTTGTCCATCTTGATTATCACTACAAAAGTTTTTTCTCTTACTCAATTAGCCTCTTAGAGTTGGTAGGACAACTCCCACCTTTTCATGCTGTCTGTTTGTGTGTATATATCTCCTCACTATATGTTCCATTCTATTCATCCGATGAAGTAGGCTGCAGCCCACGAAAACTTATGCTGAAATAAATTTGCTAGTCTCTAAGGTGCCACAAGTCCTCCTGTTCTTTTTGCGGATACAGACTAACACAGCTGCTACTCTGAAACCAGTGAGATAATGTAGCTTTGCTGTATGCCAAATAAAGGAACCTGAGGGACAAGACAGTAGTCAGACTGAGTTCTTGGGGAGCTAAGTGGAAGAGGTTTTGGGGGAACTCCAACAATATTGAGGGACTGGGGAGAGTGAGCAAGACTTGGCTTCCTCTGCAAGGATCAATGGTGGCAGCAGAGGTAGGAAATGAGACACAACTATTCTGACATGAGCACATGGTGTTTAAATGCCTCATCCTGCATTATTGGTCAACAAGTGAACAAATAGGCCCTGGTTTCTCCTTCCCTTCCCTCTGTACCTCCATCTCCATCCATATTCTTCCCCACTCCATTGACACATCCATCTAGAGAGGAACATGGGAATCATCATACTGAGTCAAATAAACTGTCCATCTAGCCAGGGAGCCTGTGTGACAGTGGCCAATACCAGATGCTTCAGAAAAAGGTGCAAGAAACCCCATTATGGACAATTTTGAAATAGCATAACCATATGGGCAGCTTCCTCCTAACTCTCGTCACTTCGTGGCTGATTCTATGCTTTGAAGCCCCTGGACATAATTCTGTCCTTATCCAGGGTGACTGGATGACTTAATTATCCATAAGAAGATTGAATCCTCAATATCTTGTGGCAGTGAGTTCCACAGGTTAATTATGTATTATGAAGACTACATTCCCCTCTTATTAGACATAGATTGGTTGCCTTTAAAATGCATTGGCTAGCCCCTTATTCTGCTGATGATGTTGCTGTATCTTTTTTCCTCTTTGCTGTATCTTGGAGCTCTGGAGTATTTTATTATGGTCCATTTCTCAGCCACTGCTCACGGAATAGGGATAGCAATGGAAAACCAGAGAAGCTTTCATTGAGGGAAAAGATACTATGATGAAAGGAAATTCCTGCAGACAGGCCCTGGCTTCTCCTCCATTTCCCTCTGCACCTCAGTCCATGTTCTTCTCCACTCCATTCTGACACCCACTGGTGGAGATTGCACTGTTTGCTGTAGGGCTGAATGGACGCCTTTATTTATTTTATAACCTACCTAACACACACCTCAGGAATATCTCGGCCACTACCTTCTCAGTGGATGACTTTAACAATTTTCAGTGTGAGACTAGCTAATAACAAATAGTGAAGAATTCCTGTAAAATGTGACTTTTGGGACTAACAAGCATCTCTGCTAAAAGTCATGAAAGTTTTTTAGGATTGATAACTTTTGTCATAATTATCCAGTAGGTGGCCAAGTATTCATGAATAATGACCCTGTCATTCATAGCTAAGTCTCTTTCCCCCCCCCCTTACTTTGCACAAATATTTGCAAATCAGTGGCATTTAAAACTACTCTCTCATCTCACCTCCATCCCACCTCTCTTGATCCTGGGTCTAACTGTTCATCTGATCCCGCAGTCCTCACTCAGGCAGACTCTGCATGAATTTCAATGGGATTTTTGCCCGAATAAGATTTGGCAGATGTAATGTGATGCTGCATCTTCCAGCACCAATTCCCTCTCCTGCATGGGGGACGAGGTGGGGGGGAAATCAGATAGTTGCGTGGGAAAACCTAGGAAACAAGTGGGAGTTTCTCAAGGTTGTGAAGGGGGTGACAGAAGATTAGCAGAGTTGGATAGTTCATGTCTGGATAAGACCCCTTCTATTCACCAAATACATGCCCTCCGTCAAGACAAGACAAGAGCCACTTGTGAACCAGGGAGCCCCTCAATGCCATCTGGCACAAGGGACCCTAGGACATAATTCATGTCAGGCATGACACACTCATTGCCCCAACACACTGTTGCCAGAATCTGTCTCTGAACGGTGTCATATATGGTATTCTATGCAAACCGATAACAAGCTGCTCGTTAATATTATTGGGTGCTGGAGGTATGGGCAGTGTATAAAGAACTATAGACATGTGCTGGAAAATATGTTCTTAAAAGGTGGTTTGCAACCCGTGCATAAGCCCAGCCTGTCCCAGACAAAGGAATGTTGTTTGTCTCTCCAATCTGAACTAAGCTAGTTTCTACCACAGATGACAATGGAAAGTACATCTACATATAAGGTAAACAATGCACCATCAAGCTGAACGATGGGCTGTGGGGGCAGGGAGTGGAGAAAGCTTAACAATCATGAGTGTGGATGGAGCCTGCACCCCAGGGACGCCTTCCTACCACTTGAAACAGAGACTATAGACTTTGGGAAATATAAGCAGAAAGCCATTTTGGCATCCATCACTCATGGGACACAAGAGACCAGAGCTCTGGTAATCGGACAAAGGTGGATCCTTCAGCCAAGGGGGTTGATGTCTCTGGGAACTGACTATAAGTGAGAAACCTGCTTAGACAAAGACTGTGACTTGCTGAATTAAGTTTCAGTCACTAGAAAGTGTGTTTTTGTTTTGTTTGACTTGCGTCTTCTGTTCTTCCTTATATCACCTACATATCTGTTCTTTGTTAACAAAGCTACTCTGGTTTTATTACAAATAAGGGCTGTGTATTAAACTGAGAGGTAAAGTCCTCAGCTAAACTAACAGGCCTGCATGTGTACTGTCTCTTTGGAGCCAGCAAACGCAATAACTTTTCTGTGAGTGTCCAGAGAGAGGGCCTGGCAGCCACTGAGGAGCGCGGATCCCAGCCTGGGGGTCTCAGTAGCGGGGTGATTAGCCGCTGACCAGCGCGGGTGCTGCAGGGATCAGCAGAGGGTCTCGATGGCCGCCCTGGGGGCAGCCCCCGCCCTCCGGCCCCTCACAGCCCCGGGCCGGGCCCTGTGCAGAGCGGGCTACGGCGTTTGGCACCTCCCGGGTTACAGCAGATCTGCCGGTCTAGACACCCGCCCCCTTCCCCCGCCCAGTGTCCCCCGGCCCTGCCCCGTGCCCGGCAGCCCCGACACTGCCGGGGGCAGCGCAGGGATTTACCAGGGAAGACGGTGACGTTCACAGTGTCGATGAAATGCCCACTGCTCCCTACCCCGCAGTGGTACGTGCCGGCGTCTGCCAGTGTCAGGTTCTCCAGGGTCACAGTGAACACGCGCTGGGTGTGATTGTCTCGGATGGAGACTCTGCCCCGCTTCACCTCCGCCACCGACCGCAGGTTCACAAATATGCTATCGTTGGAACAGAACATTCGTTCTGCCCGGCACCAGAACTTCTGATCATTCTCATGGCCGCTCCTGTACCCGCACCGCACAGCCACCGACCCGCCCTGGGGGCCGCTCACTGCCCCGGGGCCCGTCACAGGTGCCACCGCCCAGCAGCCTGCGAGAGACAGAGACAGTGAGACATGGGGCACTCTTCTGGCCACTACCAGGAATAACGTGACCCCACGTGCCCGGGTTTTTGTGTGTGTGTGTGGGCGGGGCGAGAAATGTTGTTGTGGGTGATGCTTCAGCATTTTGGAGGGTGGACGGGGGGGTCAGAGTCTGCAGCTTCGAAGTTCACCTGTCCTAAAATCAGACTTTTAAAAACTGTGCAAAGGGACCAAGAGCAATTGCCCCTCCCCCATGGGGCTGCGTGGGAGCCGGTGAATGGGACAGGAGGGCGGGCATGGGCAGGAGTGGGGGCTGGGCTGCTCTCAGCAGGTTAATAAATAACTATAAAAGGGGCTCAAAATTAGGCTTGATTCTTATTGCAGGCCCCTTTGCACCACTCCAGCAGTGCACAGAGGCTTGGAGTGAATGCAGGTGTCAATTGTATTTTCGAGGAATATATTTGCCAGTAGGAAGATCTGCTGATTCAAAACAGTATTTCGATTTTCCGTGTGGGAAAATTGAACAGTGACATGATGAGTTCAATTTCAAACCTACTTTTCAAAATGAAACTTTCTTTTTTCATTTTCACCTAACATGTCATTTTGTTTTGGTTTTCCATTTCAGGTTCATATTTTGGGGGTTCTCTCCCCCGCCCCCATGCTCCAATGTGTTGCTCCAACATGCACCATGCTGGAATATCTCAGCAATAGAAACCTGACTAGTTTAGCACTTTCTAAAATACAGTTTGGGAGGTGTTGGTTCAATCGAGCGAGCTAGCTTGATCTCACATAGTATCTATCAATGCTAGTGCAGCCAAGGGGTCAGAAAAGTGCCACCCCTCTACCCTGCAAATATTTACCTATGTGCTTCCTTTTAAGTCCAGTAGAACTCCTGTTGGTTTCATTGGCACTCATGCTTAGAGTAAATCAGTGGGATTAATCATGTTCTTAACATTAAGCAGGTGGAAGCGTTTCTATGATTTGTATTGTTTGGTTTATTTTTGTTGTTTATTTATTTATTTAATTTTTAAAAGCAGCCTTTGCAAGTTGCTTGAAAGATACTTTGACGGTAAGGGTCATATTAGCAACTAGGTAGACAAAACACAGCCTAGAAAACAAATTGCATGAAATACTTGATGGTGTCCCTTATATCCAGGTTTCAGTAGGATTCACCTGATCCCATCCTATTTTCCCATGCTCATCACCAGAGCTGGTCAAATAGTTTGTTGTGAATAATATTTGTCACAAATTCTGGCTATCTTTTCGTCAAGTAGTTATTAGTGAATAAGGTTTTCCATTATTTAACTGTCTCTGCTGATAATGTTCTGAATAATTCTCCTCTTCAGCCAAAATTATCCTGGCTTTGTCTGTGACCAGAAATGAGGTTTTTATGCAAAATCTCATCAGCGATTTTTAGTTTAGCCATTTTGAAAATACATTTTCCCCCTTTTAAAAAAATATTTGGGGGCTATTTGAGGGCCTGTATCTAATTCAGAAAGAGTACATTGAACATTTGAAACTTTCAGGAGGTAGGAACTTTTGGAGTAAATGCTGCAATACTTAACTGTTGCAGTTGGTTAATATCTTCAATATTTCCAACCCTCAAGACTAGTCTACATTGGGAACATACATTGGCATAGCTACGCCGCTCAGGAGTATGAAAAATCCACACCCTGAGAGAAGTAGCTATGCCAACCTAGCCCCCTGTGTAGACAGTGCTAGATGGATGGAAGAATTCTTCTGTCAACCTCGATACCACCTCTTAGGGAGGTCGTTTACCTGCACCAATGGGAGAATCCCTCCCGTAGGCGTAGGTAGTGTCTATAGTGAAGTGCTACAGCGGCTTAACTGTGACACAGTAACAGTTTAAGTGTAGACATACCCAAGTGTAATCAAAAGTCATGAGTCAACATCCCCCCCTCCAAATCATGAGATTGGCTTAAAAGTCATGAGATTTTTTGAAAAAAATAAATACACCTCTACTTCGATATAATGCTGTCCTTGGGAGCCAAAAAAATCTCACCGCATTATAGGTGAAACTGCGCTATATCGAACTTGCTTTGATCCACCGGAGCGCGCAGCCCCGCCCCCCCCCCGGAGTGCTGCTTTACCGCATTATATCCGAATTCGTGTTATATCGGGTCACGTTATATCGAGGTAGCAGTGTAAATGTGTGTTTGCTTTTCTTTGCCTTTTGGATTTTGAGTCTTTAGGTTGCACTTGGATCATGTTCTCAAGCTTTTACTCCACAACTGTGACAGAAACATTTTTTTAAACGAAAGCTCATAGACTCATAGACTTTAAGGTCAGAAGGGACCATTATGATCATCTGGTCTGACCCCCTGCATGCTGCAGGCCATAAA